AAAAAAAAAAAAAAAAAAAAAAAAAAAAGAACATTGGTAAAGAAAGTGTGAAATCCTGTGATCTGGTGTAGTTTTCAGATAAGAATGGTCATTTAATCCTTTTCTTTATGTTAATGCTCCCCCGCTGTCCTGGAACTCATTCTTTGTGGACTAGGCTAGCCTTGATCGAACTGGAAGAGATTCACTTGCCTCTGCCTCCCAAGTGCTTATATTAAATGGGTAAAGGCGTGTGCCACCAGTGCAGGGTTTTTATTTTTTTTTTTATTTTTTTTATTTTCGAGACAGGGTTTCTCTGTAGCTTTTGGTTCCTGTCCTGGAACTAGCTCTTGTAGACCAGGCTGGCCTCGAACTTACAGAGATCCGCCTGCCTCTGCCTCCCAAGTGCTGGGATTAAAGGCGTGCGCCACCACTGCCCGGCCCAGTGCAGGGTTTAATGGCCACTATTAAAGAAAGATCAAAGGATTAGCTCCCACAGAAAAAGATGGAAATTCTGAGCAAACCCCTCACCTTTTGGGGCCTTGGGTGAGTTTAAAGGGGTTTTACAAATTTATTATAGTTCTCATTTATGTGTGTGTATGACTAGAATATGTGATCCACAGATTGGACATTGTTTAGAGAAAGTGTAAACACAGTATGATTTTAGGATAAAGTGTTCTGCCTGCCATGACCCCCTCAGCAGGTAGCAGGCAATAGAGGTATCCTCGGCAGGGCTGGCCCTTGGGTTGACTTCGTCCCCATCAGTCTAAGGAAGGGGTTCACTCCATACTCAGCTTCTCTTTTCCTGAGTATAGCAGTGAGAAACGTATCACACTTTCGCGTTTGCAGGCTGTGGAGGTGCCCAGACCTTGCAGGGCTTGCTGCTTGTACATATGCCACGGCTGGCATGTGGCAGTCAGAAGATAGCTCTGGTCTTCCACAATGTGGCTTCGGGGGGATCGTACTTCTACCCTCCGTCCCATCTCCCGGGCCGGAGACGAGCACGAGGACCAGCCGTCACCAACAGGGGGCGCTGCCACCGCCCCGAAGGGCGCCCACCCGCGGAGTCGCGCACGCTAGGCCTCCCAGTGCGCCTGCGCCGAGTGTGGACTCCGCTCTCCTTTCCCCGACGCCCGGCTGTCTCGGCCCGGGTGAAAACTGCGTGACACGCAGGGAGCGTAGCGGCCATCTTCGTCTTCTGGGCACGTCAGCTGAGCGGGTTAGGGCTGGAGAAGCGCTGCGCAAGCGCACCCACGACGGCCCCCAGGTAACCCCCATCTGACCGGAGAGGCGTCGCCGCCGCCGGAAGTTTGGTGTTTGCCGCGGGCGGCGACGGTCGCGGCAGAAGCTGCTGAGCGTCTCCGGGTACCCGGATGTGAGCGCCCCGGGCTTCGGGCGGACGCCGGCCGCGCAGCAAGGAGGTAGGTGAGCATCCCCACGGCCCTCGCCACGGCGGGCGGCTGTCCTCGCTGTCGCCCGCCGCACGCCTCTTCCTCGTGGGTCCCGGCTGCTCGCACCCCCGGAACCGGCGGGAAGGCTCGCAGCCGCGGGCGCCTGAGGTGGGCGGTCGCGCCGTCACCTGCCGCTGCTTGCCGGCTGTCAGAGTCGCAGAGGAGCCGGGGTCCTCGGACGGCCGGAGGTGGCTGCGGCCATGGCGACTGCCGGCAGCCTGCGTTCGGAGTCCGCAGGTAGCTGGGGCCTGGTCCCCGCCCCCGGCCTCCCGCCCTCCTTCCGTCCGTCCGTCTTTCCGCCGTCGCTCTCCAGCCTCCTGCGGCAGCGGGGCTGCGGCGGCGGCGCCTCCCGCTGACCCGGTCTGAACCCTGAGGCCCTGCAGCCTGCGGGCAGGATGTGGGGGATCCCGACTCCCGCGTCTTCATCTTGGGAGGGGAGCGATGGCCCGGTTCCCCATCTCAGGAAATAATGCATCCTGGAGATGGAGGCCGAAGCACAGGTAGGGTCCTTTGAGGGCCCCAGGAAGTTTTGTACGGTGGAGAGGTGTGAGCGGAAGTGAATTGGATATTAGATTTTGATCGCGCTCGTCAGATTATAACGGGGGTTTGTTTTGCACCGGCAGAGTAACCTGTCACCAGAGGTCCAAAAATCGGATCCCCACACCTCACCTCCAAATGGTGCGTTGTGCAAGTGGGTGGCGGTAGGCGAGGGAGTGGGAAGTACAGGAAGATACAAGAAGTACTGTAGTCGTAGCAGAAATGGATTTCTTGTAGCAAGAAGCAGTGGCAGCCATGCAGTCCCTAAATGGTATTACAAAACAACTGTTTTTATTTTTCTTTCCTGTTTTCAAAGACTCACCATGTAGTTCAGGCTGGCCTGGAACACTGCCTCCCTAGTGCTAGGATTAAAGGCGGTCACCACTGCACCAGGCACAAAACTGCATATTATTTGGTGAAATAATGAGATGTGACCTGATGCTCCTCCCCCAATCTAAACAATTTTTAAAAAGTAGGAATGAGGGCCGAGGGGATGATTCAGCTGGTAAAAAAGGCTAAGCCTGACAAGCTGAGTTTGCTACTTGATCATGTGGGAGGAGAGAGCTGACTCAAAGGCTCAGGTGTCGGCATGGACTGCGGATGTCGATCGTAGTGTATAGCTTAACATGAGCAAGGGCTCTAGGATCAGAAATAAGAAAGTCGGTGAAACACAATTTCAGCTGTGCTGGTCAAGGTTTCAGTGAACTGAAGCTGTATTTCACTTTTGTGATTGCATTTTACATAGGGTACTAACTAATGAATTTTTTTCAACTTGAAAAAACTTTATAAAATTCCCACCGAGACTATCATGAACAAAACAAAACTAAATGAAACTGCTTAATTTGGAAACTCCTAATTTATCGTCTGAGGAAACGAGGAAGTTAGTAGTAGTAGACACGCTGTGCGTGCGTGTGCGTGCCTGCGTGTGCTTGCATGTGTGGTTTTTCCTTACAGCGTTTCTCTGAGTAACAGCTTTGGCAGACCTGGAGCTCATCATTCTCTAGACCAGGCTGTCCTCAAACTCACAGAGATCTGCCTGTGTCTGCCTCCAGAGTGTTGGGATTAAAGGCCTGTGCCGCCATACCTAGCAATATAAATTCTTAATGAACAAAATTTCTAAAAGTTGCTGATTAGTATGTTATAGTTATTTCACTATTACATTTTAACACATGTATTCATATTTTCAATTATATATAGTTACTCCCTCATTACCCTTCTTTTTCTGCCATTCCCTCTGATCACCTTTCTCTTTTCTGCTAGACCCTTTTACTTTTGGGGTGGGAATGCCAATGAGTTTAATTAGGGTTCTTTATGGATCCTGAAAGCTAAGAGTGGCTATACTGGGGAGAACATGTCTGTCACCAGAACTCCAGGGAAGCTGAGCCTCCTCAGTGTTGCCCTACCTTCTTCAAAATCTATTTATCTTAATCTTATTTAATCTGTTCCTTGCCAGGTTTTTGTGCCTACATTTAAATTGAGAAATTATACTTCACAGAAAGGATACTATGATGAATATCATTAACTCCCTTTGCGGGATGGTCTTTGTTGACTTCAACACACAGAGTTGATTGTTGTTTGTCCTATAAATGAAAGTGACTAGCGCTGTATAATTCAAAATGATGTATTTTTATAATAGTTGATTTTTTTCTATGACTTTTATGACGTTTGTCCTTCCTAGAGTTCACTGGATACCCTCAACTGTTGGTAATGAACTAAGATGATTATTAGAATTCTGTTAACCCTTTTGAAGCTTAGGCTTTTTAATGTGTGTACATGCATCAGTGAAAATTCTTTGGCTTTGTATTTACAGAAGCTTTGTTTATTACTGTAATTCTAGTTGGTAATGAAGCATTATTCTCTGTCATTTTTGCTTTTTTACTCTTTGGCAGTTTGATTTTTATGATAAATCTCAATCATTTTCACCTCTCATTCTCCCTCTCTCCTGTTGGCATTCTTCTCAGAATCCCTACTACTTTTCTCTCTCTCTCTCTCTCTCTCTCTCTCTCTCTCTCTCTCTCTCTCTTTCTCTGAGTTTCATTATAGTTCTTTGACTGAGAATGGGGTGGGAATTTATTCACTGGAGCAAGGGCAATTTATAGGACTATGGGTCTTTTCTGTTTGGGAATAGGATGATGCTAATTTTTGATTCATTCTTATCCTGTAGCAGTAAATAAAAAGACATTGTTATTTTAATGTAGTGGCTCACTCCCTTAGCCTTCTGCAGCTCAGGCTGGCCTTGAAGTACACCTACTTCTACTTCCGACCGACGCCCACTGTGCTCTCCCTCCTCCCTACTGTCTTTTGGAGTGAGAGCTTCTCACCACAGAGCCCTCTGAGATTACAGGTGTGAAGCACCACACCCAGCCTCTTTCCCTTTTTTTTCTCTTCCTCTTCCTTCATAGGTTCTTGCTGTGTAACCCAGGCCTCCCAACTGCTGTGATTACAGGTAGGTGTGTACCACCACTTGTGGCTAATGTTTTTGTTCTCAAATTTCAGAATTCCTTTGTCCTCCTAAAGATCATGTAGGATTCTGTCCTAGGGTTTCTACTGCTGTGAAGAGACACCAGAGGTTTAGTTAATTATCATCAGGGCAGGACATGACCCATGCTGTTTCGGTAGCCACTGGTGTTGGAGAAGGAGCCAAGAGTCTTGACTCACAAGCATCAGGAAGTGGTCTGAGACACTGAACGTGGTTGAGCATATATGAGACCTCAAATCCCACCTCCATAGTGATACACTTCCTCCAACAAAGCTACACCTAATAGTGCCACTCCCTTTGTGTTTATGGGGCAATTACTTTCAAATTACCACAGATTCTAAATAGCTTTTTGTTTGTCTTTATTTGTTTTGTTTTGTGTAACACCCGGTTTTGGTGTTACACCCTCGGTACAGTTCGCGCGCAGCTGTACCGAATGCGAGTCCGGGCAAGGGCCTGGAGATTGAACACAAGAGACAGAGACCAGGGTCATTCAATAGGAGATCAAGCGAATGCCGTTTATTCAGACTTGGGGAAGCCCTTTTCTACCTAACTGCAGCACAAAGATCTCACCACCCAGGGAGGTGGGAAATAAACACACAGGAAACTTAGTTAACAATGGAGAAGATTGCCTGCAACTAAATCACCAGGTGGGGCAGGGATAGCACGGAAACACACAGGAAGCTTAGTTAACAAATAACAAACTGTCCCCGCCAATGCACCCCAGGAATAAGGGAGACCAGGGCCCTACAGTTTTGTTTTTCTGATACAGGGTTTCTCTGTATAGCTCTGGCTGTCCTGAAATTGCTCCTGAATCGATCAGGCTGGCCTCATGTGTCTAGAGATTCGCCTGTCTCTGGCTCCTGAGTACTGGGATTAAAAAGGCAGTTGCCACTGCCCAGCTCTTATGTAGGATTAAGAAGCTTTTGTTGATATTGTTATATATGTTATAGTTATTGTGTTATAAGTAATCATCTTCAAATGTATCAATGCCTGAATTAAAAGTTAATATAAACTGCTGGAGAGATGAGTCAGTGGTTAAGAACACTTGCTTACCCTTTTAGAGGACCTAGGTTCAGTTCTTACTGTCCACATGGTAGCTTACAGTCATCCCTAATTCTAGTTGCAGGGGATCTGATACCTTCTTTTGACCTTCATAGGTCACATACATATGGTGGACAAAATACATACAGGCAACACACTCACATATCCAATAATTAAATCTAAAAATAGATAATATGAGTAGCATCTTTAATGATACATAACAATATGCCAGATTAGCTTGCCAAAGAGTGGTAGTTGTATTACATTTTGTAATTTAGTGTTTAGCTTAATAGAACACAACTGGATTGTTTTATGAGCCCTATCAGTTGCTGTTTTCTGGTCAAAGTACATGAAGAAAAATCCAACTTCATAGTACTATATTGAGAGGGAAATTTAATAATTTTTAGAAGCCGGGCAGTGGTGGTACAGCCTTTAATCCCAGCACTCGGGAGGCAGAGGCAGGCGGATCTCTGTGAGTTCCAGGCCAGCCTGGTCTACAAGAGCTAGTTCCAGGACAGGCTCCAAAGCTACAGAGAAATCCTGTCTTGAAAAACTAAAAAAAAAACTAAAAAAAAATATTTTTAGATAATTGTGATTGTCTAGCAAATCAGTAAGTGAGTACTACCCTGCCTGTATCTAATTGTAAAATCATTGGTCTCATTTTATCTTTTTTTTTTTTTTTTTTTTGAGAGAGGTGGTTGTCACTGTGTTGTTGCAGGGCTGGCCTGTCCTTGAACTCTTAGGCTCAAAGGGATCCTTTTGTCTCAGCTTCCTTGAGTAGCTGGAACTATAGGGAACCCTGTAATTTTTTTGTCTTTATTTTGTGCTTGGGATGGAACCTAAGGCCTGATACATGCCAGGCAAATGATTTTCTACTGAGCTGCATCTCTGTGTATTTTCTCTGTGCAGTGTA